CATTACAGTAGGGAGCCACCAGCCGCACATAGTGCTCACAGTGCTCTTGAACTGTGACTAAGATGTATTACTTTCTGAGGGTGAGCACTTAGCCACCATACCCACTGGCACTTAGTAGACACATTAGTTTTCAAAGATTTAGTAGGATAAGGAGAATGTAAAATAGCTAATCAATAATTTGTAAATATTGATTACATGTTGAAATGATAACATTCCACACATACTTGGGCTAATTAAAATATATTGTTAAAATTAATTCCGCCTGTTTCTTTTTTATTTTTAAAAGTAGCTACAAGAAAATTTTAACTTATAGATGAGGCTCTTATTTGAGGTGTGTTTTATATTTCTATAGTGATCCTTCATATGCTGAATCTACAGTCCTCAGTTTCCTGCCAAATGTTCTCCCATCTTTGTCCCAGCTAACTTGTTCTTCTGAGGTCAGTTCTAGCATTACCTTTCAAGAGGTCTTCTGTGATTCCTCACCCATTCCCCTGCTCTACTGGTTGACCCTGATCATTATTCCCCCAGCTGAATCTTAAACTCCTTAACACCTGAACGCCCTAATCAGACCCATTTTGTCCTTCTGCTGGTCTATGAGCTCAAGCACCTGAGGACTGCATTTGTCTTATTCGCTTCCATATCCCTGGCATGCAGCACAGTTTCCAGTATTAAAGAGAGGCTTGAATATGTTTGTTGAAATAAATGAATGAATGAATAAATAAATAAAGTGGAGTTGCCTTCATTTACAAACACATATTTCTCTTCTCGATCCATGGCCTCAACCACAATTTCAGAAAGTTTATGATCTGCCATGATTAAGAAATTAACAGAGGAAACTGGAAAGGTTAATGTGGTTTTAACCCTTTGTCATATCTTTTCATATACTGTCTGTCTATTAGGTGATTTTCTTCTTAAAGAATACATGTGTTAACTGGAAGAAAGGTGTATTGGAATCACAGGTTGAAATGCTTAATCGAAGCAAAGGAAACATATGAGACTTTGCACAAAAGGAAGATACAGGGGATGTGAGAGAGAGGATGCTAAAAGCCCCTGTGAAGGGCTTTAACACGACGCTGAGGCTGTTCATTACAGGGCAACACTTTCTACTTATTACTGCATTTATTGTTTTAACAATACCTAGGTGTTTTTGTTTTATTTCATAGATTAAATTGTACTTTTTGGCTTAAACATAGAAAGAATTTTTGTTTTAAAAATAGCTATGGCAAGAAATTATACAAAATATTTTTTAGGAAACAGAACTTTCAGAAGAAACCTTTTTAAGAGAAACCTGAAGTAGGTAAGAACCAGAACAAGAAAGCAAAGGTTTCCTTCATCTTCAACACATTCCCACACTCACATTCATACACACACACACATTCACAAACACACCCACACTCATACCCCCCCACACACCTTCCACACACTCATACTCACTGCGATAGTCTGAATGTGTGTTTGTGTCCAAGATTCACATATATGTTGGAGTCCTAATGCCCAGTGTGATGGTATTAGGAGGTAAGGCCTCTGGGAGGTGATTAGATCATGAAGGGTGGAGGCTTAATGAATGGGATTAGTGCCCTTATAAGGAGCTCACTAGCCTCTTCTGCCACGTGAGGATACAATAAGAGGTCTGCAGCCCAGAAAAGGCCCCTCACCTAACGTTGATGACACCTGGTCTTGGACTTCTAGCCTCCAGAACTGTGAGAAACAGATTCCTATTGTTTATAAGCCACCCAGTCTGTGGTATTTTGTTATAGCAGCCAAATGGTTTAAGGCACTTACCTACATGCACCCACACTGACATGTATATTTACATAGCCACACTCATACTCTCACCCCACACACATATTAAAAACTCACACTCATTTACACACACATTCACGCTTATCCATTGTACTCACACACATCTACAATGCACTTGCACACACATCACTCACATACATGCATACTCACACACACATACTCACACTCACCTACATCCACACCTTGTTCCTTCAAGGTGTGCTGATTCCATTTAGCACCAATTACTCTCTTCTGATGTAAACATCCTACAAAAATGAAAGGTCATCTCACATTTCCCCAGCTGCAGGAGAAACATGTTCTCACTTTATTCATAGACTAATGGGGTTTTACTTGGTACTAAGACCTGAAATCCCCCTCTCCGCAGTGGCAGGGTGTCCCTCTCATTGGGTTTCCCAGTATTGATCAAAGTGAAAACAAACAAAAAAAACCCAACAAACCACCACACATACGTCTTTGCTTTCTTTCCTGAGGTCTGATTTGGGTCCCACCACAAAGCACCTGATCTGGCTGCAGTATTTCTTTCTAGTCTGACATTCAGATGAATCCCTATGTCATGGCACCATCCCAACAAATTCCCAAGCCTGCCTAAGAGTAGCATAAGAAATCCTCAGTTGGATGAGTGAGACAGGAAGGGTTCCAGACAGAAGGGGAGTGATTTCTGCCAGCAGCAAGCATCATAGTACCTGAAATCCTTTCTCTGGCATCACTCAGCTCCCTAGACCTGTGTCTGTGTTTGTAACATGAGGTAGGACTGCATGCTGCTTACATTCCCTCTAGCTCTTGGGCTCTGTAGTTCTGTGGTCCAAAGCAGGCCTGCTTGTCTCAGTAGTTCTGGTCAGTCTTTCAATTTCATTGCCAGGTGAGTGGCCTACTTGAAGCCACTAAAGAAACCCAGGGTTTTGCAGGAAAAGACTTACTCCTGTATCAGGCCTGCAAAACTGAAAACTAGATCCAACACTCCTTAAGGAGATTCTCAGGCTGGACTCAGGAGATTCTAAGGTTTTGAAGATGCCCTGTCTTGATCACCATCAGGTGCCAATTTGTAGAAGTTTCTAGTATTTACATTTTTAGGATCTTAAGCCAGTTCTGGTCCAAAGCACTCATAATTCTGACTCTGCAAAAGGGAAAACTTTCCTTCTTTTCTTTTTTTTTTTAGAGTTTTATTTATTGATTTGAGAGAGAACGAGCGCTTGTGAGCAATCACACAAGTTGGAGGAGAGAGGGATGAGGAGAGAATCCTCAAGCCGACTCCCCACTGAGCATGGAGTGCAATGCAGGGCTTGATCCCAGAATGCTGAGATTGTGACTTGAGTCAAAATCAAGAGTCAGCAGTTTAGTTGAGCACCTTTCCCAGGTGCCCCAAAAGGGAAAATTTTCTAACAGTAAGAGATGCTCACCATAGCATGGATTGCTTACAAAGTGAGAATTCTCTCTGTCCCAGACGGTCCCACCAGAGGTATCCGTCTGTCCTGGCTGGAGTGGAAGCAATGTTTATGACAGGAAGGGTAGACTAGAAGAGAGTTAAAGTCTTTTTGAATTCCAAAACCTCACTTTAGAATTTAGGCTTTTCGAGGATTAGGGACAAGATTAAAATGAGAACCAGAGAAGAATTTGCATATGCACCTTGGCTGAGCCTTACCTGTGGCTAACAAATGTTTATTGGAATGAAAACAATATATTTTTTCAGATCACTGCTGAGGACATTTTGGGAGACGAAATCTTTATGGAAGGAGGAATTTTGGTTTTGACCAGTTGCTTACTTGTGAAAATGAAAACCAACAGCCAGGAACTAAGCTGGGTTCTTCTATAATATTCACAAATTATGGCTGCTCTAAATGTCTTGCTTTGAGAATTATCTTGCTCTTAAACAAGGCTTTATTTTAAAATAAATCTTAAGCTGCAGTTTTAGTTCCAAAGTGAAGAGCTTGATTATGACTCACTAAGCTATTTATAGTAGTCTCATACCAGACATTTTGTGTGCATGTGAGAGAGAAAGGAAAAGAGGGAGAAAGAGCTCATTTCTTGTCTGGCTCATTTCTTAAAACTGAAGAAGATTGCAGTTATCAAAATCTATCATGCTAACCCCATCAGAGGACTTTATATTCATTTCTCTGACTGTTGGGGTTTCATGCTCATCAGCTTCATAATTGCAAAACTGTTGATTTACCCTTAACTGGAAGAGGTGTAATGAGAGGAATGCAGGCTTGGAGAAGTAAAGAGGAGTACAGCTCACCTGAAAACCTTTTATTATGAGCATGTCAATCAGGAGTTCAATTCAAATAGTATTTTCTTTTCATAAAGATGAGTCACGATGTAGCAGAAAGAATTCTGGATGGGGTTTTAGTCTCAATTCTGCACTATGTAGCTGGGTGACTGTGGGAAGAACATCCTCCTCTCTCTGACCGTTTAGTTTTTCCATTTGTTAAATGGGGATACCTAGTACTTACCTCACAGGGTGTTTAAAGGATTAAGTGAAACAACCACACCAGATTTCAGCATTTTGTGAAACTCTCACATCCTGTAATATACATTAGGCCTCATCATTTTCTGGAAGGTTGTTCAAGTGACTACTGTTTTACTGCTATTCCTCAGGAAGAGCTGTTTTCCCTTCTGTTCATAATATTTTCTACTATTACTTGAGTTCTTGAGGCAGAGCAGCCTTCCTTCTACCCTCTCCCTTTTTGGTGACTATAGAAAATATATTTCTGAATATCCATATACACAGACTTCCCATCTTTAATTTCCCAAAAAAGTGAATAAGTAAAAGGTGGTATGGTCACTGCTGGGCAGTTTGTATGTAGGGGACATAAGGGTGGCGGGGAGGGGCAAGAGCCCGAAGAAATGATGCAGTGGGGTCAGAGGATGGACATGCCTGGAGGTGGGAAGGGATGGAAGTGGATGAGGAAAAGACATAGCTGTGTGTGGGACAGAACCCACAGCTCTCACCCTTCTTTGGCAAAAGGCAATGGCATTGAATCAAGTGTCAGGAGGATATTGGTGAGAAAATGAGCTCCAACTAAGTCTCTGAAGCCTCATATAAAGCCATTATGGAAATAAAACTTAATTTTTGGCCTTGAAACATTGTTCAAATATATAATTCTTTTTATATATCAATTATATCTCAATAAAAACAAAGACAAAAAACCACAACTAAGTATATAATTCTCTTAAATTTTACATTGACACTGAAGACTTACCTTCCAGAAAAGAGAAATCTGTTGTCTACTGTAATCAATGTGCTTTTTCATGTACCAGACATCTAATGTACCTGTAGGTTCTGTTTTGAAGAGGAAAAAAAATATATATATACACACACACACACACAGATATATATATATATATATGCACAATATAAGACCTTTCAAAGTCAATTACTTATTTAATAAATAATTCTAGGAGAGTAGGATTTAGGACAATTTTAATTTTCTTTGTACCCCAGTATTGTTTTCTTTCTGTCAAACAGTGAACATGTATATTGTTGGTCATAGAAAAATCAAGGTTACTTAAAAACAAATTTTAAAAAATGATGAGGAGGAAATTAGATTCCTAACTTGCCCTTAAAATATGTATTAATAAAATAACTCAAAGAAGGTATGTGTGGTTATTTCTTTTTTGTTGGAATGCAGAAAAAATTATCAGCAGAAAGATAACCTAAATCACAAGGAGCACAATTTTTGATCCTGTAAAAAAGGCAAAAAAACAAATTATAATCTCTGTGTTCACATCTATTCCTGAACTTATCATGTTGTGGCATAATTATTTGGTTTTATGATCATTAGGTAATGATCTACTTGAAAGGAAAACCTATCTCATATATCTTAATATATCCTTCACACCTACACAGTGCCTAGAATGTAACAGGCTCTCGATAACTCTTTGTTAGGTGATGAATGAACAAATGGAAAATTCAGACAATATTAGCTACTTGATGCAAAAACACAGGCTGAACTGACAGAAGGAATGACCACCAATCTATAAGACAATGGTCAAATACGACCTACTTTAATTTGAAAAAGTCAATCAAATAGACTTGAAAAGAAACTGAATAATCAGCTCCTGTGTGTAAGAGTTTGTGTGCACGTGTAAGTGGGTGAAATAGTTTTATTTCTCCCATTATCAGATTTGTTTTGATTTACAGTCAGGGGTGGAATCTAATAGATCAGCCACTAGTTTTTCCAAAAGTCTAATAAAGAACTTATTAAACTCAATCACAGAGAAACAAACAATAACTATCGATGAAATGGTGCAAAATACATGAAGGAAATGGGCTTTAAAGAAGACATAGACATGGCCAACATGCACATGAGAAAATGCACTGCATCACTTGCCATCAGAATACAAATCAAACCACAATGAGATACACCTCACACCAGTGAGAATGGGAAATCAAATAAGGCAGGAAACACCAAATGTTGGAGAGGATTGGAGAAAAGGGAACCTCTTACACTGTTTGGTGGGAATGTGACTGGTGCGAGCCACTCTGGAAAACTGTGTGGAGGATCTCAAAGATTATAAAATAGACTGCCCTACACCCAGCAATTGCACTGTTAGGATTTACCGAAGACATCAATGCAAATGAAACTGCCGCACTGCACCCGATGTTTCTAGCAGCCATGTCCACAATACCAAACTGTGGAAGGGAGCCTTCGTGCCCAGTCGAAATGATGAATGATAACATGAAGCTGTGGTTATGTATACAATGGAATAGTACTCGCCATTAGAAACGAGCAAATACCCACCATTGCTCAACGTGGATGGAACTGGAGTATTATGCTTGAGTGAAGTAATCAATCGAGAAGACAAACAGTGGATGTCCTCACTCATTTTGGGGAATATAAATAATAGTGAAGGGGAATGTAAGGAAGGAAAGAAATGTGTGGGAGATATCAGAAAGACACAGAACATAACAGAATTCTAAATATTCTGAAATGAACTAGGGTGGTGGAAAGGGCAGATGGCGGGTGGTGAATGTGAAGGCACGAGGGGGACACCTTGACGTGATGACACTGGTGTTATTCTGTATGTTGTAAATTGAACACCAATAAAAATATTTATAAAAAAAAAAAAAAGATAAGTCAGCCACTGAAAACAGTGATACAATAATAAAAAAAATGTAACTTGTTTATCACTGACACTTAGAGTGTATTGAGATGAGGCTACACAGAGGTTCCTTCTGGAGAGGCAAGTTCCATTGTAAGTTTCCAGAACATTAAGTCTCACTGGGAAAGCAGAGGACAAGAAGTTAGGGAGAGGAGAAGAGAAAGAGGGAAAGGAAGGGAGCACATGCACCCACACATAATATGTGCAGGTCCTATGGGGGCCCACTCACAGTTACATCCATGTCTTCCTCAACCTTGTGACATACACAGATCAAGAGCAGTAGTTAAAGAGTGAGTGCCAGAGCAGGAGTATATGGGCAAATCCCAGCTCTGCAATCTTGAACAAACGTTAACCATGTCCTTAAGCCAGTTTCCTCATCTGTTGAATGAGTGTCATAGTTCTCTGTTACATGGAGCTGTTGTGAGAATTAAATGAATAGAAGAATCCTGATCCATGGTAAGCACTCAGTAAATTTAGCTGTTGCTATTTTCTTCATTTGGAAAATGAAGTGCTGAGAACTAAAGGGGCTTGTTCAAGGCCCCAGAACTAAAAGTGGAGAAGCCAGGTTTTGAACACTAGTCTGTTTCATTCCAGAGCCTGAGCTCTTTGCTCTGCACTTTGCAATTACCTGGCTCTGAGAAAGCTTAAAATTTCTCTACAGCACTTCTACCCCCAACAAGTTCCCTTTCATGTTCTACTCTCTTCCTTTGTCACTTCCTTTTCCTGCCTCTCTCACCCTCTTCCCTGTTTTTTTTTTCTAAATATTCACTTATTTTCTTCCCTTCTCTTCCCACTAGTGATAGCTTCTACCCTTGCAGTGAGGACCTAAGACATTGTGAAAATGCTTTCCATGCTGCTTCAGGATTATGAATAGTGACCCAGAAATCAAGACTATGACTTTTTTTTCCTGCTAGTCCAGATGCAAAAGGGAAAAAAGCATAGGCAAGAGAAGGAAAGGGGACCTGACCATTATCAACCACGTATTATGTGCCAGAAAATATTTGGACACTTTAAAATACTGTACATTATCTTACTTAATCCTCACACAATGCAGGAAGTGCATGTGACTACACCTGCTTTAGAGCTGAGGACAAGGAGCCTGATGAAGGTTAAATGATCTACAGAACACGTGGAGCTGGTAAATGGTAAAGCCAGGGGCTGAGCCCAGGTTTCACTGTTTCCAAAGATCCTGCTCTTCTATTACAGTTCACTACATTGAGCAAAGATCTGAGCAAACTAGATTATCCAGACATTGATTACGTAATCAGTATTTGGAAACTTGGGTGTGCTCAATGGCAAAGCCAGCTGACTTGTTAGTGCTAATGTCTCCAGTTAATTACATGTTGGTAAGAAATTTAAAGGAACATTCATTGCCTCATTAAAGATCTATAACCTACCAGATTACTACAGAGCTAAGAATTGAATTCTAGAATCACAGTCTCTTCAAAGGAAAAATTGCAAGTGAAACTGAAAATTTAATGGTGCCCACCTGCAGTGTTAGCCTCTATGGGAGAGAAATCATTAGTTGAATCTGTGTGAGTTTCAAAGCGTAAAATTTCATGACCAGGGGTGTCAAACCCTGCTGCTTAAAAGCAACATAAGAGCTGATATTAAAGAGTATGTTTGATATTCAACTGACACAAAATCACTTGAAGTTCTAACCTCAGTGTTATCTAACAAAGGCAGGTAAAACTATTATAGGTAGGCCAGAAAAGGAAAGTCAAAGGCCAATAGCCAAGTGAATCCAAAGCAAGTGGGTACAAATTATTAAAAATACAAATATTGAGAAATGGAAGTCAGGTCTCCTGAGATGAAATTACCTCCTATATAATAAATGGGGAAACTATAGGGTTGGATAGAGTCACCAGTGTGGAAAAAAAAAAAAAAAAGCAAAGATACTAAATTAAGCAGGAGATTCGCCTAAATGACCTTGAGTGTGCTTTCAATTCTAAAAGCCCAAGATTCTGTGATTCTGTGCAACAGTACGTGTGGCAAACAAATCAGAGCCAACCAATGTGCTTCTGAAATGAGCATCCATATCTGAAGCCAAGGCAAGTGCAGGAACGTGGACAACAGCAACTGAATCGCAGGTGAAAAGCAATCCCTCAAAAAGAAGTTTTTGCAGGCAGTAAGGAGGAGTATAAAGATTTCCAAGAACAGTGAAAATGGAGAATTTAACACAAAGAGAATATGGAAAAGGTATTATCTTGGGAGGTTTCAGGCAGTGAACTAAATGAAACACGCGAGAATTTTTTTGGTCCAAGTCATGCTCCCAGCATGGCAAGGCAGAGATAAGTTATTCACTGCCTTGGTTCCTTGATGTGCACTTTTTGGGGATGACACATTTATCTAAAATCTAGTTTTAAACAATTTGATTCAAACAGATCTTACAGGTATCTACTTGGTTAAACAAGTTTTACATTGAGACATTATGACCTGCTATGCCTGCATGGGAAGCCCTATACAGACTCCTACATTCCTCTTCCTTCTTGATTAATAATATTTAAAACTTGGTTCACTCTCTCTTTTCATCTTTTTCTGTCCACTCTTTTTAGTCATGATGTGAAGGGCCACCATCCATAGGTTGTTTCTGCCCTGGAGCTGGTACCGTCAATCCTTCCACCTATCTACTTCTAATGATGTGTTTCTCTTCAGTAGCTGTTCTTGTTTCATACTTCATTGAGCAAAAGGAAGTAATCAGACAGGGATTCTCTCATCTTTCCACCATGAAAACCTCCAAATTTTTAGTTAATTCCCAAACATAGCACCCCTACTTCCATCATATTTCAACCCCTTAACCTGAATGCTGGATCCCATTCTCTTGCTTTATCAAGGACTTCTCCCCCACTTCTCCTGTGTCATTAATTTCTCCCTCTCTGCTGGGACTTTACCATTACCTTGAAAATATACTATATTTCCTCTGATCCTAAAAACAAAACCAGGCAAAGCATTTCCTGATACCTCGTCCTGCTTCAGCTACTGCCCTGCATCTCTGCTCTCCTTCACAGAACTTCTTGAAGTGGTGAACCGTCACTGACTCTCACCTCACACTCACTCTCAACCTTTAGCATCTAAGAGTGTCTTCCCATCATTCTACTGACACTGCCTCTGGTTGGCAGTGAAGTTTGTGTTGCCAAATCTAATAGTTACTTCTTTATTCTTATGTTATTGGACTTC